AAGTGGGTGGAAACGAGACTTTTTGTCACTGAATTGATTGGGGTTGCAGCATTTCAGTACTTTCAAGAAGCTGCTCTTGGATGGCTTGAAATAGTGGTCTGTGAAAATGGGTATTTTCTAAGGTGCCAATTTAAAGCTCATTGAAGTCGAGGGGAACTTTTTTATTGGCTTCCCTGGGCTTCAGTTTGGGTTATAAACTATACTGAATTTAGGAGAAGAACCCCAAAAATAGAAACATTCTGGACTGAAGCTGTTTGATTTGGCAAGGTCTGCTGTATGAGTGGGCTTTATTAGTTTAAATTCAGGCAAGGTCTAGGAAAGTGGTGCTAATCAAGAGGTTCTTTGGAAAATGAGTCCAAATGTCTCAATTTTTCTACTTAATGGAAAAATGTTAGCCAAAAAAAAAGTTGTTTTGCTGCAAGTAAAACCTAAACGTTTGTCAGGACTGAAAGCCTCTCTTACTTTATTTAGAAAATGTTTTTTTGCGAGTCATGAGTAGGTCGCACTATCCAAGTGAGGTGCAGAGGACTGCAAAACAGCTTGTCTGTTGTATCGGTTATGTCTCAGTATTTCTCTGCAGTGTCTCCCAGACTGTGTGCACAATTGGATATCCTTATATTACCGATTAGCAGCAAATTGATTGAAGCTGGGAGGATTTTAACACTAACTCGCTATTCACCATTTCCACACTTGTGTAAATCCTCCCCACCACCCTAGGACACCAGCCAGGTTAATTTCTGCTGCTACTGGCTTTCACTGTCCACGTCCTCACACCAGTGCAGAGTGACAGAGCCAAGTGGGCCTTCTCAGAAAGGCCAGCCTGCGGTTTGTGAAAGCTGACACAGCACCTTGTGCAGGCACTAACAAAGGTGCACGCCACATGAGCATCAGCGCTGCATGCCCTGTCATTTAAACGTGGTGGATGTGCAAGGACAGCCTGGAGATGCCCCTTGCTGAGCTTGTGAAAGAAGGTGGTGTTTTGCCATCCTCTCTCAGCTCTTTGCGCTAAAAGATGTTTTGCAGAAAATTTGTTTTGTGCATTAGTTCTTGGTAAACTAGACGGTATTCACGCATTTATCTCTTTTCCATATGAGCTACATGTCACGATGTGAAGAAGATGCACGTTGTCCCAGGCATACTCATTCCTTAAGATAACAGCAGGATTTAGCAGAGGCCCAAAATTTAGAGAAGGTTTTATTTGCTGAAAGGCCAAAGGGAGATAAAGGAAGAGAAGCCTGGGGGAGAGGAGAAGATGGATCTTTTGGTGCTTATCTTTCAGCCCACACAGCCACATTATCACATCGGTGCCCCGAATCTGCAAACCATTAGTCAGGGCAACACTCTGCTACCTTTGCTGGAGGCTAAAACCAATATGGATGTGTGGAAGTTTTGAACTCTGGCATCTAAAATAGCATGTTTTAAGTAAGGTATTGTTGAACGGGCTGCCCAATTCTTGTATGTAACTTCACCATTTTTAGAGAAATAACATTCCTCTCCTTGTCCACCTTCTAATGGGGCTTGCTTACCCAATGGAAACACCCCCGACTTCCCCAAGGAAGACTCTAATCATGTTCCTCCCAGAACTGTGCAACAAGACGACTCCTTTGTCTCATCTTTTGTATGTCCTACCATCAAGTCAGCCACCCCTTGATTACTGGGTTTTTTATCAGCTCTGACTGCAGAGCTGATCACAAGCGTCCCTGGCATCCACTACCTCTGCTCTGCTCGTGGTGTCAACAGACATTTGATTAATTCCAGAGAATTGAGCACCAAGGGGATTCAAGGTGGGGCATGAAGTAAATCACATCTCAGGCCCTTCATGCTTCCCCTTCTCCACCTGTCAGCACAGACGGGCTGCTGGCAGAATGGCAGTTCGAGGCCTTTCCTCGTGCAATGTGCACTGTAATTACTGCAAGGGTAATTGGAAAAAAAAAAGATCTGCCCACTGCAGCACAATACAGCTTGTCATCTGCAACAGGAGTGGTGAGCCCTTGTAAGGTTTGAGGACAAGAACATTTCACAAGACACATGGTAAGGACAAGGTGCAAAAGAGGCTATTAGTTCAAATCCTGGAGACTGGCCTGGGTATGGCAGTGAAGCATGTGGGAGGCATCTTGTGCTGCTCATCTTCGGGATACTGATGCCATAACAGAGGGCTGAGGGCTTCTTTCTCCTTGCTCCCACCAAAAAAAGCAGAGGCTCTTGCTTAGGAATCCATGGTTGTCTGCAGCTGTTTGCCCTTCGCAGCTCCCCAGGAGGATGGTCAGCTGTTTCTAGGTAGTGTTTTCCATTTGCCGCCTTTTAAATGAAAACAGTGATTTTTGGTTGTGGACAAAACAACAACTGTGCTGGCTTAGGGCGTTAATTTAGGCAGATTTTACTATATTTCTAAGGAGCATAAACCATTATGTGGTGTCCTCCCTTTTCTCTAAATAAAAATGTATGTGCTTTCCTTCAAAAGTGTATTTTGTGTGTAAGTCACATAGTGATAACATTAAATGCGGTATAAAGATGGTAATAAAACTGGTTGTAACATTTATATATTTTTCATGACCAAAGTGCTTTGCAGTTGGAGATGCTATAAATGTGTGCTTGCCACTGGAGGAAGCAACACACTTACGCTGCAAAAGATGACAGCCACGTGACACCAGGACCCGCGGCCACGGGAAGGTTGGGTTGGTGTTGCTGAGGAAGAGGCTGTGGTGGACGGGGTGGAAAATACTGCTGGGGTGGGGAGGACACCCCGCACAGAAGCATCCGTTGATGCAGCAGAGGAGCAAGTGCCTGTCCCAGGTCTCCTCCTGTTGCGTCTCAGCTCTGCCACCTCCTCCTCTCCTTTCAGCAGCAGAGGCTTCTCCATGTTGGGATCAGCATCACTCAACCTGCTCAGAAACCTTGGGTTGTCTGGGTTCGCAGTGTAGTCTGGGAGGAAAAGCAGATAAAAACAGGGAAGGAAAAGGGAAGAACAGGGAAAATCCTGCTGTTGACATTTTCCCCAGGGTTCTCTAGTCTTTTTTTTTTGTATGTCTGATCTGTTGCAACAGGATAAAGCAAATTCCAGACATGCTGACTGCCCTCTAGCTGTATCTTCTAAAACAGTCACATCTTGCACAACTCTGTATCCTTTTATGGGGATTTTTCTTCTGTGGGGAGCCCGAGGGCCCTGTGCCTTCTCTGGAGAATGGCAGGATCAGCCAGGACATGCCAGAGCTGGCTGACCCCATCAACTCTGCTTATTTGCAGTGGACCCCTGTATGGCCACGGAAAATGAAGAAGAGACGTAGAGCTTAGTGCAGCTAATCCTGGCTGCAGCGCCCCAGTGTCACACACCAGGAAACCACTGGAGCCTATGAACATCACCGAACAGTCAGCCACGGAAAGGTCTCCAAATTGCTCTTCATTAGAGGGCATTCAACATTTGCACAGGCACAGATCTGCAAAGTGTTGTTTTTTTTTTTTAAATGTCCACTGACTTTTACAGAATACACACAATGAATATTAAATAAAGGGCTGATGTTCCCTAAGTCATTGCCCATTACTGCACTTCAGATGCCGTTATGTGGTGTGACTTTTAAAAACTTTTTTTTAAAGGTCATGCTGTTTATGCTGCATAATATATAGTACAATTCCCCTGTAAATTAGAAACATACTTTATAGCCTGCTGCTGTGCTTCATGGAGGTGAACAAGAGTTGAAATCATGGGTCTCCTCCTCATGGGGAAGCACTCATGGGAAATACTTAGTATCACCATAATTGGGGGTTTTATGGACTAGTAATGGGCTATGGAGGCCTCTCTGCGACACCTCGCCACATCTGCTCTCTAGCCTTTCTAGAACATTTTCCCATTCTTGACGCTGTTAAATTTGATTTTACTTTACTGTTATAGGAAGTTTTGGGTAAACTGTAACATTACCTAACCCACTGCTGTCTCCTTTAGCTACAGAGGATATGCTCAGCCCTGACAGGTTTCTCTCCCAGCAGATAAGCAGAGTTGACTGTATGTTGAAATGGCTGCAGGCCTGTTCAGTCCCTATATACACTAACTCTCTGGAAGGATTAAGTATTCTATTGCTTTATAATACAGCAACTTTCAAAAATGGTGTCCTCTTTCTTTCCAGGTAAACTATACCATAGAAGCTGGATTTTGAAGGGACGTGCAGCCTGATTCCAAGTTCCCCTGTGACAGCTCTTCAGGGAGCCAGTATCAAAGGTAAGCAAATGAGTTAAAGCTGCAGATCTTTGATCCTTATTTAAAAACTTAACGTCACACATTGCCTCAGAAGGCAGAACAGAGAAAAAGGAGAGCAGCCATGGGGCACAGAATCAGACTGCAAAAAAACACTGGAAGGTATTTTGGTCTCACTTCACTGTGGAATATGTAATATGGTTGAAAATGTATGGGAAGACTATTAAGAAAGTACACTGTCTGATGCTCGTATGATGGAGATGCTAAGTAAAGGAATTAAGCAAATAAACAGGGTTTCAGAGAGGTGTTAAGAGATGGAGGAACAGTAACATAAGGAGGAAATTCAGAAGTGGATTTCTTCCATTTAAGGGTAGAAGTTGTAAGCCTCGTATGACATGGAAGTTACATGCTTTTTGAGAAATACGGAAAATAATATAATTTCACATTCACAAGGTCTCTTACCAGAGACTGGTATATTCTAAGAATGGGTTTGGATTAAAGGGGCAGGCCAGGCTGCAAATGGAAGACTGCGTTATGAAGTAAGCACTTGCTACCAAACAGGTCTGCAGGGCAACAGCTCGGATGACTCTGGGGGGGGGAAGAAGCTGCGGGGCAGCACTGGGCAGTGTCTCTGAAGCCAGCTAGGCCCAGTCATAACTTTTCTGCGAGGGCAGACCTAAACTGAGGTGTTGTCCTAATATATCCTTCCTGGAATATATTCCTGGTCCCTGTATTGGGTTATTTGCCAGAACACTTGTGCGTTATTACTGAGTTAGCAAAAGGCAATGTTAATGTTTGTAGTACTGACTTTTTTATTATAAAGCCATTTTCTGTGTTTAAATATACTAGCAACATGGTCTGTAACATATTAAAAATACCTTGGAAAAAGCAGAAGGAAGACATTTTACACATGGGCACAAATTAGAGAATTAAAACAACTCTGTTCTTTCAATTTCTGTGCTAGAAGAGATGGATAAGATTATATTCAACTGTCAACATATGAAAAGAAACTTGGTCAAAATTTCAGAAGGATAAAATGTTTTATAGGTGAAAATTCTGATATTTCTGTAATTAAGTTCTTGGTCAATACATCTTAAGGTGTATTTAACATGACAGATTACTGAGAATGCCTGTAGCCATTTGGTGCAGGTTATTTTCATGCAAATATTCTGTTTTCCACTGAATGTTGTTAAAATACAGGACAAAATCTTTGACGGTAAGCAATCAAGAAAAACCCCATACCATTATGGACTACCAGGGTGAGCATCACCCCACAAGCGTAAGATAAAGAAAGACACAAAGTTCTCATTTCTGCTGTACAGGAACACCATTTACGGAGTCCACCCAATGATCTTATACATCAGTGCCCTCAAAAGCCTGGCTTCATAGGTAACTGTATTTTTCCCACTGTGCATCCTCTTCTCTTCAAGGGGTTGCTCAATGACAGCTGGGATGTTTCTTCCATACAGCTCACATTGCTTCAGAAACTGAACGCACTCTTGAATAACGCTGTCACGTAGCATGATCATGTGCTTGGACATATTCTCCAGCAAGGACAGGAAACACCGTTTGGCGTAATACCACGTATCAGTGCTCAGTTTTTTGTTGTATGGCTCCAGGCTTTTAATGACCCTTGAAATACCGAAGTCATAGTTTCCCTTCACACAGTAAAGGGTACCAATGACGAGATTGACAATGCAGAGATGGTAGATATTTTTATCAGGATTATCATAGGACAGCTGCTCTTCTCCCTTCTCGATCTTCCTCATCAGTTCCTCTGCGTCTTCATTCTGGCTTGTCAGGATGTAGGAAACGCAGAGGTTAGCTAACACAATGGCACTGACATGGAGAATGTTGTCATAGTGCTTTTTGACTATTGGCTCATAGAAGCTAATAGCCTCTTTATACTTATTCTCTTGCATGAAGAGCACGTGAGCCACATTGAGCTTCCACACCTCGTGTTCGTTACAGAACTCCACCGATTTGCGGAAAATCTTTTCTACCATTGTGTAGTTCTTCATGTCCCAGTAGATCTTTGCCTGGGCCATCAAGACAGGTACATATCTATCCAGAGTCTCATCATACTCATTAACTGCCTTTTTTACAGCTTCATCATCCCAATTTTGCCTAGCTTCCTGTACCTGCTTCGTGAGTTTTCTCAGCTGCTCAGTCAGCATCCCTGCTGAATCATCTAGCTTGTGGAAAGCCTCCTCAGGGGCAGTTTGACAAGTAATAATGGCATCCAAGAAGTTGTACAAGTAAGGTGTGAGCAGTTTGTAAGTAAGATGGGCGTTCTCTGCCAGCACATCAGCTGCCAGGTCGTAGTACTGATGCTTGCAATAGAGGAGTAGCAAGTTTCCGAAAGTTTCTGGTGGACAGGGGTTCTGCAGCAGCAGAAACTGCAGTTTCTCAAACCCTTCAGTGGGTTGGTTGTCCATGTTCATTAGTGCTTGGTTGTGCAGCGTGACTGGATCCAACTCCTCTTCAGCCCTCGGCGGCATGTCTGTGAGCGCCTCCTGGGCTGCTTTCAGGTTGCGCAGCTGGTACTCGATGGCCGCCTTGAGGTTGAAGGCCTCCACCAGGGCCGTGCGGTGCAGGAGCAGGGTGTTGCCGACGCTGCGGACATCAATGCCCTCAGTGGTCATGCCTACGCTGAGCTCTGGGTGCTGGTGGATGCCGCGCTCTATGATATCAGAGATGTGTTTGAGGGCAGGGGCGTACTGCTTGGCTGCGTAGCAGCATAGCGCCATGTTGTAGGACAGCTCAGGGCAGTATCCCAACACTTGCATGGCGCCGGCAAA